TGGGTTTTTTTTTTTTTTTAAATAAACCTCCTTTTGGGTGGAGGTTTGTTGATGGAAAGGAAGAAAAACGGACCCTTTATTCTGCTCTAATCCCGGCCCCTGGAATTTCCCACCTTTTCTCTCACCTCTCCTTCCTCCCTCCACCCACTCTGACGGAATCTGGGGGAGCCGGGTGGGGGACGCTGAGTGGCGGCTGGGGGTGTCAGCCTCTCCCACCTTAAGTGGGGGCCCAGTTGGGTGGAGGTTTGTTGATGGAAAGGAAGAAAAACGGACCCTTTATTCTGCTCTAATCCCGGCCCCTGGAATTTCCCACCTTTTCTCTCACCTCTCCTTCCTCCCTCCACCCACTCTGACGGAATCTGGGGGAGCCGGGTGGGGGACGCTGAGTGGCGGCTGGGGGTGTCAGCCTCTCCCACCTTAAGTGGGGGCCCAGGCCTGGCTGCACTCACCTCCTCCGACCTCTCCTCCAGTCTGGGGCTCGTCCTTAGGAAGTGGAAAACCGTGTCCCAAGGTGTGCGGTCCAGCTCGGGGCTGGGGGGTGACGCTGCTGAGCTGGGAGGGAGGGGCTGAGGGGCCCTGAGCCTCGGGCCACGGCCTTTTTGGGACGGAGCCTGAATCCTCGCCACCAGCCACCCTGGCCGGACAGCCTGAGACTGAGTGACTGAGCTGCTGCGGAGGGCTGGGGAAGGAAGGAGGGGGAGGGGGAGGGAGAGAGAGGGAGGGAAGGGCAGAAGGTGGAGCCTTCAGCGCTTGCCTTCATCCCCAACACCCAGGGCTCCTCCACCCCGCCCAGGCCCCCCCAGTCTCCCATACTGCTGCCCAAGCCCATATCCCCGGCCTGGCCTGGGTTTGGGCCGCAGGCTTAGGTGCGGGGTGATTAGGCCAGGCAAGGAGTAGACCTAGGCCACAGGGGTAGAACTTGTTGCTTGGAGGAAAATCAGGGACCCCCAACCTCTGCTTCAGGTGGTGAGATAGGCATCTGGCAAAGGACTGGACGGAGAAGGCGGGAGAAAGTCCCACATGACCTGCGAGGCTGGCAGGCCTGTGGGCTTCCTTTACGAAATTGCCTACTGCAAGCCAGGCACTGCTTCTGGCCTCTCTGTCCCCTCCTCCCCTGCTGAGCCACCCCAAGCTACACCGCAGGAGCAGGCGCTCAGGTCCCCACCTGTTGAGGCAGGAGCAGCTGGACACCCTGCTCGGTGTGGATGCTGTAGCTCAACCCACGGCCCCTTCTCTTCAGGCACCCAGCGTCAGGAAGCACAGGGGAACCCGAGGTGGGACAGGTTGGGGTTCTGTAGGCCTCAGAGACCTTCCTGGTCCTGCTTCCTGGGGCCCTCCCCCACTGGGCTCACCTGTTAGAAGAAGGGAGTCCCCCACTCCTGCCTCTAGAAGGGGTGGCAGCTGCACTGGGTCGGACTTCCCTCCTCCTGTCCCTCCTCTCCTCCCTTCCCTGCTCTTCCTGCCCATGAGCCCGCAGCTACTTCTCTCCGCTTTCCTAGGTCTCACCTCCCAAGGGCACAGTCCCTCTCTCCTCCCAGTGAAGGCAAAGGTGGGGAGCATGTAGAGGGACAGGCGGAGGAGCCTGGGCCATGCTGGTGACCACATGTAGGACCCAGTTCCTCTGCAGCTGAGCAAGTCCCCCCCAGGGCCCAGCCCCAGGGGTTTGGTCTGGAGTTGGGGCTGGATGGGGGTCTGGGCAGGCAAGGCCTCCTGCTTGGGAAGGCCCAGGGGCTGGAGGGGGCGGGTATTGGGACACAATGAGGTAGTCACACGAGGCGAAGGCATGTTGGGGGGTGGCGGACATCGGGACACACACACATGCTTGCGCACACACAGCCAGCCAGACAATCGGGCCAGTGTGTCCGGGGCCGCAGAGCCCAGTGAATTAGGAGTTTGATAAGGGTTTTCTCTTTCTCTTGCTTGCTGGCCTTGGACAATCTCCCCCC